CCAAGACCCTGGCTCAAGCTCGCACACACTTTTAGCCGTTGAACCGCACCCGCGGCTCGTCGTACACCGCCAACCTGGTTCACGATCCGAAAAAATCATAACCATGGTGTGGATCCCCTCTAGAGCCCAAGCCATGCTCGTTAGCAAGAAATGCCTCAACTGCCACCACCCAAACTCTCCGCAATATTTTTCAAACATTTGATCCATCGTTACTTTTTTCGGTTTTGAATATTCGTCCACAGCCGAAGGGATGAGCGGTGACCGGAGGTCACCACCATCTAGTAAATTTGACATAGTTTTAAAATTTTCTCGTCCGGGATTATCGAAGAGGTTGGCAGATATATATGTGATATTCTTCAGTTCCAGAGTTGTTGGTGGGAAGCAATAAGAATAGGAGCTCTCTTTCTTATAGTGTTATAATTGTAATAAACTTGGGATTTCGCAATTTATCACTATGGTAATGTTTCTAACACGATTAGGTGGGAAAATGTTTGTTTATTTGTTAATGTTTAAAACAAACTAAAGGCTTTTTAAAAATGATGAAAATAATAACATGAAGCGTTCTTTTTTATTTATTTCTTACACTAGAACCCATGTTTATCTCAATAACAGCTCAAAGATGTTATCACTGGGAATCTTTTTTACATGTGTAACTTGGAGAAATTTACCTAGTTATGTGATTATGTGAGAGCCTAATTATCACTATTAGCAACATTTGTATTTAATTACCTAGCATAGCCAGATTTTTCAAGACATAGCAACAGGGCGGATGTAGCATAGAATTACCGGGTTCAACTGAACCCAGTACTTTCGATGTGGAGCACAAATTTATGTGTAAAAAATTTCTAAAATTACAATAAATAGTAGATATGAACTCATAACTTTAAATATTGAACACATAGAACTAAAATTCTACATCCGCCTCTGCATAGCAACAAGACAAAAGATGTCATCACTTCGAACCTTTTTTACATGAGTTAAATTCTTTTAGATTGCTGAATTTACTGTCCAATTATTATGTACGGAGTGCAATTTCAAAAAAATAACATTTGCTACTACAACCAGCTTTTTATTGCTTTACCTAACAAATTTAGTACTATTGATCTTAATATGCTGCTTTAGAAATGTTATATACAAGTGGGGACTTATAGTTTAAAGAGTCGCAAATTATAATTTTATGCTTCAAATTAAAAACATCTTATTTACACAATTTCTTCAAAAAGCCTTTTATTTTAACAAAAGCATTTTCAAAAAGAGGAAAGAATTTTACCTATAGTTATGCGATTATGGGAGCTAGTCTCTATACCATTATTCTAATTACCTAATATAGTATAAGATTTTTCAAAACAGACAACTTAAGAGACGCACACCTCATCAAAAACCAACCTTCCCCACCAATATGCTCTAATCAGACCATTGTCGATAGCATTATATGTTAAAGATGTAATACTTCACTATTAAATGCTCTCACCGTTTAGCTGTGTAATGTAATTTCCTTTTCCCAATGCTTACCTATATGCTAACGTTAGCCCACATATTACTTATATTGTATAATTCCTATTCCGAAACACAATGTTTAAGGAAATGGAAAATAAATTAAGTTAAATAGGGGAATAGCATCTTTGGTAACTAGGCGACACCAAGGAAGAGTTTGATTTGCAGAAGTACTCCATCTACACATGGACTTTAGAAAATGCATCTTCTTATATTTATTAAACATTATTTTATTGCTGTCTTATTTGTCATTTTTCCCATGTGACATGCAGACTATTCAGATTTTATTTCAGGAATTGGAGTGCTAAGACTATATTTTGTTAAGCTAGATTTGGAAGTATTAGGCTAGGGTTTGTGGAAAGAGAAGATAGGAAAACAGGGGAGATCGGAAAAAAGAAAAGATAGGAAGAGACCTCCAAAATTTCTATTGTTATAAAATTAATTATTGCTGGTCTTTTAAAGTCATGCTCTACGATTAGATAGACTAATTAGGGACCTAATTATTGCATAGTTGGGAAAATCTCCCTTAAATTTATTCCTTTGATTGCTGATTTTACTATCCTATTATTATGTGCGGATTATAATTTTAAAAATATTATTTGCAATGTTGACCAATTTTTTATTGCTTTGCGTAACAAATTTAGTACCCTTGATCTTAATATGTTTCTTTAGAAATATTATTTATATATTTACATTATATAAGCGGACTTATTAGTTTAAAGAGTCGTAAATTCTAATTTATGTTTTAAAAACAACTTATTTACACAATTTCTTCAAAAAGCTTTATATTATTTAGGGTAATTGTTCTTCTATTTTTAACAAACGTATTTTCATAAAAGCTGCGCAAAATCACCTTAGTCTCTCATATATCCAACTGGCAAGTGAGAACTACACTGAATTGGTTTGCGTTGGATACGTATCTAGCCATTGATTTAGGTAATTTTGTTTGAATCTTTAGTTTTATTGCGGAAGTGATTTACGTATCTACTTTCCTTTTAAAGGATCAAACGCGAATATGACGTACAGGCAAAAAGCAGGAAATCCATTAGTTCCTACTAGAAAAGTAGGAGCAATCTATATCTATATTATATTAAAAGGAGAGTAGTATGTATTGTGGTTAAATCAAGGGTAAGCTAAAATGAAGTCACTTGGCAATTTTAGGACAATATTAATAATTAGAAATTATATATAGAAACATAATTAATGGAGGTAGTTTAATGAATCTTAGACATAATCTAAATAGATCTAGACAAATCTAATATATATATATATATATATATATATATATATATANATACAAATTAATTATAAGGCAAGAGAAAAATTAAATAATCAGCAAAAGATGTTTTAATAACAAGAAAAATAAATTCATATTAATATTGATAAATCGTGCAAACGAATATTTTATACGTAAATATTACTACAATATTTAGATATAATGTGTTCAAACAATTAAGAAAATATTTTTCTATGATTAATGTTTGAATTGAGTTTAGTTAGTTTAAGTTTGAAAGCATACCATAATTTTTTGAAAATATGGTCCAATTAAGAAAATATAATGATAATTTGAATTTGAGATGAGAAAGTATTTTAATTTTTATCTATATTATATTAGAATGAGTATGGTAAAAATATATATTAAATTCAAACAAGCTAATAAAAATTTACAAGACAATGTAATAATATTAGGTATTGAATAATATAAAATCAATAATAATGAATAAATAGAAAAAAAACTAAGATTTTTTACCATAGGAAAAAGTGTAAAACTTATTTAAATTTGAGATGAGAAAGTTTTTTATATTATGATAAGAAAAGTTATAATATAAATCCACATAACTCAAGTCTAATAGTAAAACTAAAAATATTGAACAATAAAAATAAATTAGAGACAATGTAAGGACATTTATAAATCATAAGTTTATAAAATAATATAAAGTAAATATACAATACTTAAAAATATTATTAAATTTTAAATTTAAACTTTTCAAGTAATATTTTTGAAACAAAATAAATATTTATTTTATAATTAAAAAACTATATATTTATCTTATATTATTAAAGAAAAGTAGTTGAGAATGATATTAAATAAAGTTACGAGTTAATGAAAAGCCACATAAAATATAATAAGACTATATATTAGATTAAAAAAATAGGAAAATTATGTTAACTTATAAGAAACTTACTATTAGAAATGAAAAGAAAAGACTATTTGAATTTAAGATTAGAAAGTTCTTAAAACTACGATGCGAATGCTCAAATTATGAATAATACCACGAAATTGAAGTCTTATTTATAAAAAATAAAATAACAATAAAAAATTAAATTTTAAATTATAAAATAAATTTCTATATAGGTAATTTTACAAAAATTAAATTTGTATCTTCAAACTAAAAAAGAAAAAAAAATATGTAAAGAAGTAAAATGATAGTGAAAATATTACTACAATATTTAGATATAATATGTTCAAACAATTAAGAAAATATTTTTCTGTGATTAATATCTGAATCGAGTGCAGTTAGTTTGAGTTTGAATGCATATCATATTTATTTGAAAATGCGGTCCAGTTTAGAAAATAAAATGATAAGAATTATTTGAGTTTGAGATGAGATTTTTTTTTGAAAATATTACGTAAAGAATTAAAATGATAGTAAAAATATTATTACAATATTGAGAAATAATGTGATCAAAAAATTAAGAAATATTTTCTATATGATTAAATAAATTTTTAAAAATACAAAATAAATTTCTAATATTGGTAATCTTAATAACTAAAATTAAAAATTAAATTTTATCTTATAGCTAAAAAAGAAAAAAAATTTAACTGCATCTAATACAAAATTAATTATAAGAGAACTCAATACATTTGGAACATGATAATCAAATCACTTATGTATTAATATTTTAGACTTATGATTAATATCTTAATCGAGTGCAGTTAGTTTGAGTTTGAATGCATAGCATAAGTTTTTGAAAATGTGGTCTAGTTTAGAAAATAAAATGATAAGAATTATTTGAGTTTGAGATGAATTTTGTTTTTAAAAAAAATATTACGTAAAGAATTAAAATGATAGTAAAAATATTATTACAATATTTAGAAATAATGTGTTCATAAAATTAAAAAAATCTATGATCAAATAAATTTTTAAAAATACAAAATAAATTTCTAATATTGTTAATCTTAATAATGAAAATTAAAATTAAAATTAAATTTTATCTTATAGCTAAAAAAGAAAGAAAATTTAACTGCATCTAATACAAAATTAATTATAAGAGAACTAAATATATTTGGAACATGATAATCAAATAACTTATGTATTAATATTTTAGACTAATTAAAAGTTACAATTTTTTTTTTGATAATTAAATGATTTTATTTACCAAGTGTAAATATTTACAGCATAGCAAAAATTGAATTCCTACTTTCTATCCTCCCACTGGACATGCAGCCCCAGTTAGGATTTTACTACCCTTCCTACTCTTCTCCTTCCGTGTGATTTGTATTGTTACATTTCATCAGGGTACCAATTCAAATTGCTCATCGTCCTTACTAGCCTAGGGAACATGGTAGCTCTAACATGAATTTCCTGGATGATTGATCTAACTATGGCATTAGCTGGTCTATTCTTCTGCTGGAATATAGCGTTATTCCTCTCTTGCCAAATATGATAAATTGCTACTGCTAAGGACATTCTGCATAATTCTGCTCCTCCACTTCTACCTTTAGTTCTTCTTTCCATCCATGCCAGTTCTTCCTCCCATCCTAACTTTGTTCTTTGAATTCCTTGCCATGTTAAGAGTTGTTTCCATATGGTTGTTGTCACCTCACATTCAAAATATAGATGCTGCACAGTTTCAGATTCTCTTTGACATAGTGAGCATGTGGTATCAATCTGTATCCCCCATCTTGCTAGCCTTTCTTTTGTTGCTAGTCTTTCCTGTATTGCCAATCTTAACATGAACTTCCACTTTGCTAATCCATAATTGTTGCATATTAATCTCCTCCATGGTACTTTCTGAAATTCCCCTTGCATAGCTTTGTACATGTGCTTTATAGAGAAATTTTCCATCTTCTTCACTTCCTCTTCTGTATATCCAGCAATGTCAAAATACTTCCTTGCCTTGAAGATCTGTTGTATGACCCATGATGCATTCTTTGGTGTTGTGTCCCATACTGATTTTCCCTTTATGTAATATATATTGACCCATTGAATCCAGAGCTTGTCTTTCTTTTTGCATATATTCTATAGTAGTTTACATATAGCTACTTTATTCCATAGCTCCACATTGATGAAGTTTAAACCCCCTGCTACCTTTGGACAACATAGTTTTTGCCATGCAATTAGTTCCTTCTTTGTAGGTTCTGCATTGCCTGACCACAAGAATCTTCTGCATATAGTGTTGATGAATTGTATGATCTTCTTACGGAGGATGAAAATCTGAGCCCAAAAGTTTTGGATTGCAACCAATACACTCTTGATTATCATTTCTCTTCCAGCATAGGATAGAAATTTTGTTGTCCAGCATTGTATTCTACTCAGCATTCTATCAATTAGAGGCTCACATTGGATTATTGATAGCTTTTTGGTGCTCAGTGGTACCCCTAAATACCTTAAGGGTAGTTCTCCCTTAGTATATTCCAACATGTCCATGATTTTCCTTTGAGTCAAGATATCCATACCACCAAAGTATATGCAGCTCTTATTTGGATTTGCTATTAGCCCTGATGCTCCAGAAAAGATTTTGAATTGTTGGTGTAATGTCTGTATTGATTTTATGTCTCCCCTGCAAAAAAGTAACAAATCGTCAGCAAAACCTAAGTGCACTAAATTGACTTTAGCACACTTAGAGTGGTATTTGAATTCTTTCCCCTAGTTTAAGGATTTCAGTAGCCTACTCAGATACTCTATTGCCATCACAAACAGGACTGGTGACAAAGGGTCACCTTGCCTAAGTCCCTTCTTTGCCTCAAAAGGTTTTGTTGGTTGTCCATTGATTACTACAGTATAGGCTACTATAGTTATACACTGCATTATCCCTCTGACAAACTTCTCAGGAAACCCCAACAACTTCATCACTTATTTAATATACACCCATTCCACCGAATCATATGCTTTTTGCATGGCAATTTTAAGCATACATCTAGGTGATATGCTCTTTCTTCCATATCCTTTAATCGGTTCATGGCCCATGATAATATTATCAGTAATCATCCTTCCTGGTACAAAAGTTGTTTGGCTATTATCTATGATGTCTGGCATGATTTCCTGTAGCCTTGCAGTTAAAATCTTTGATATCATCTTGTATAGGACTGTGCAGCAAGATATAGGCCTGAATTCCTTGATGTTAGCTGGATTCTTTACCTTAGGGATCAGAGTGATGGTTGTACAGTTTATAGCTTTACACATTTCAGTAGTTTCAAAGAACTCCAGCACTGCTTCAGTAACTTCCTCTCCAATTATGTTCCATGTCTTCTTGAAAAAATGGGAGTTATATTCATCACATCCTGGTGCCTTGCTATCATCAATGCCCTGTAATGCTTTTTGCACTTCCTCTTTTGTAATTGGTTTGATTAGCTACATTTGTTGCTACCTGTTCAAAGTGTGTCCATTCTGCATAACATCTGGATCAACTATTGGTAGTGTTGAGGCTGCTGTACCAAGTAATTTTTTGTAAAAGCTTAGAATCTCCTCTTTTACCTCCTTAGCACTTTGTAGAAGCTTTCATGTGTTGTCCATCAGTCTGCCTATGTGGTTTCTTGCCTGCCTATTTTTTATACAAGCATGGAAATAAGCTGTGTTAGAGTCCCCTACTTTAAGCCATTTGATTCTTGCCTTCTGCTTCATAATACTTTCCTCCACTTCCAGCCATTTTGCCAGTTCAACTTTTGTCTCCTTCTCTAATGCTATCACTTCATCATCAGTTTCCGGAGATGCCATTCCCATTTGGATGTTCATCAACTTGTTCCTTGCTGCTTGGATCTTTGGCTCCACACTGCTGTACTCCTCATTGTTTAATTGTTTCAGATCTTTTTCCAGGTATTTTAGTTTGTACCACACCTTCAACATTGGCTTTCCCTTACTTCTCTTCATCCAACATTGCCTGACAATATCATCAAATTTATGGTGGCATGCTAAGCAATTAAAGAATTTGAATGATCTTTTTCCCCTCCCAGTAGGTTCAGCAACAGTTACGATTATAGGGCAGTGATCTGAAAAGCCTGGATGTATAATAGTTCCCTCCATATTAGGCCATTTTTGTATCCACTCTGCATTGGCAAGTATTCTATCTATTCTGCTATGGACATGGTTGTTTGTCCAGGTGTAATTTCTCCCAATTGTTTTGAGTTCAGCTAGTCCAATATCAACTATGAATTTTTTGAAATCTGTCACTTCCCCTTCTTGAACAGGATTCCCCATGACTCTATCTTCTATAGACAAAATGTTGTTAAAGTCTCCCATTATTAATCTTGGGTCTTGTATTCCCCTTATAGTTCCTTCCAGATCAGTCCACAAACTTTTCCTGTCTTGTATGCTATGTTTCCCATATACTGCAACAAATATGAACTTGTTGTTGCACTGCCTCAGAACCACCTGTCCTGCTATGTATTGTTCATGGACTTGTTTTACCTCAAACTCCACCTTTGTTTGGTCCCAAATAATCCAAATCCTGCCATCAGGTGCCTCATCATAGTTAGCAGTCCATTGCTAATTGCCAAACACCTTCCTCATTATTGCTTCAGCTTTATTAGCCTTAACTTTATTCTCCAGTACAGCTATTAATACTACATTATTCTGCCTATAGAACTTTTTTAGTGCTTTTTGCTTATAAACTTTATTCATACCCCTAACATTCCATGTTATAATATTCATCATGCTAAAGTATTTATGTTGGGATCTATATCACCTTCATTTCTTCTTCTCTGCCCTCTTGTCCCCTGTGTTTCAGATAGTTGCACAATTTTTTGAGCTGTGTCAACTAAAGCTTTAAAAGCGTTTCCAATGTATACTTCCTCCTCTCTGTTGATTTCCATTTGCTTTTTTGATGCTGATTTTCCTCTAGCAACCTGCAATTCCTCATCGTTTCCTTGTTGCCTAGGCATAGCTTCTCCTTCTGGTTCAATTTGTTCCAGAAATCTTCCATGAGCATCAATTCTATCCACCTTAGGATCAAGGACCCTTGTTTTCCTCCATTCTTGCTTTAGCTTTTGATTATTGCCTCTCTGTTGTCCATCCTCTTTGTTCTGCCTCTGTTGATCATTACATGAGTGCCCAATTTGACAACATAATTGGCAATATTGGGGCTTCCAGTCATATTGTACTATCTGCTCAATCACCATTCCTTTAGGATCATGAAGTTTTATTGATCCTGGTAAGGGTCTAGTAATGTCCATTTCTATTAACATCCTTGCATACGAGACTCTATCTGCCATGGTAGTACATGCATCAGCAGATAGAGACTTTCCTAAGCCACTCCCTATTTTACTTAGTGCTTGATTACTCCAGTAGCTAAGTGGAAGTTTAGGGAATTTTACCCCTAGAGGGATGGTTTTGAGTATCTCCTCACCAAAATCAAATCCCTCCTTCCATTGTCGCATGATAATTGGTCTACTATTCATAATATACGGTCCATTCAATATTACTTCATCTCTTTCTTCACAGTTGTTCATCAAAACTATGAAATATCCATCATTGTGGAACAGTACCTTTGGTTTCCTTACTTTACTCCACTGGTTTACTATGAATCGCTCAATCGCCCCAATTGTTGGAGTGTTTCCTACCACATAAAGGATTAGGTCTCGGTTCCACTTCTGTTATTCCTCAGCAATGTCTTCTTCCAGCAATTGAACAACTACTTCGCCATCTTGTATCACCGGTGGGATATATGATAGGTTCATACCTTTGGCGGCAAGTTTGTTCTCACTGAATAGCCCAGCCCACGACCTTCCCCCATTTCTATTCTGTGTTGCTTTCATCTCTTGCATGCTCTTCTCACTTCCATTTGAAGCTCTGGTCTGCTCTTTTGGTGCATCAATTTTTACTGTTTCATTGCTTGTTGGCCTACTCTTACTCGCATCCCCAGCTAAGCTCATTGTTACATGTGTTCCTTTACCTCCAGTATTCAACCCTGGCATCGCAATGGTATTTGGCTTTATCGGCGTTGTCAAGCTTGCTCTTATGTTGCTCAGATCTGGCCAATTTAGCTCATCATCACTTTCCAGATCCAGATCTTCGTCCTCCTGAATTTTCTCTTTTTTTTATGATTGTTTTCCTTGCTCCCTTGTGCTAAGATCGGTTAATTTCCTTTCTACCAGTAAAGTTTTGCTATCATTCTTCCTGGGTCATCCTCTTCCTCCCATTTCCAGCGAGGCGCAGGTTAGTTAGCACCTAACGTGCGCCGAGAGTAAAAAGACTAAACTTAAGAGGACACTTAAAAAAAAGGATAAAATAGAGAATGTATATTAAAAAGAAAATAGAGGTAGTGTGATGATACTTATACTTTAAATTAATTTTAATATAGATAAAATAAAATAATTAATTATATTTAAAAATATTACTGACAAATTTAAATGATTAAAGTATTATGAATAAGAGGATAAAAGCATAAAAATATATCAAATTTCGAGAATAAAATATTTATTTTTATCACATACTATTAAAAGGATAATAAGCAAGACATTAATTTAATTATAAGCTAACAAAAAATTATATGATGGTATAATAATATGAAATATTAAATAATACATTAAATATAATAAAAGAATCAAAAAAAAGAATTTACGTAAAAGTGATGTGATGAATAAGACATATTTGACTTCCTGATAAAAATAAAGTGATTGTAAGAATTTTATTAAAATAATATGATCTCATGTGCTCGAACAAGACAGATCACAATATGACATGTTTAGTATTCTTTAATATCGACAACGGAACGAAATGAAAGTACTAAAATCAAGGGGTTCGGTTGCTACAAATATATGTTAAAAAGATTGGTTGTCTACTAGATATTTGATAAATAATTTCATATCCTGCTTCATAATTAAATTCTCATGTTATATAATTTGTATCCAAGAGATATATATTTTAAGGTTATTTGTACATGATTCAAACAACATACATTGCAATTTGAAATGATTTGTTCGTGCATCGCGCGGGTACTAATACTAGTTATATTAAAAGGAGAGTAGTTAAACATGTGGTTAAGCCAAGTGGCAAGCTAAAATAAAGTCACTTGGCAATTTTAAGACAACATTAAAAATTTGAATTATAAATGGAAGCATATTTAATGGAAGTAGTAGTACAAGATTTTCTATAGGTATCTTTAATTAAATTTGTGTATAATTCAGTTATGGTAGGTATCTTTTTTGAGCAAGAATCAATTAAAATTTTGTTGAAAATCTTATACACTAATTTTAAGTTGAAATAATAATTCTTTATTTAGTACAAGTTTTGTATCTAACCTTATTTGTGAACAATATACATTATTATAGGTATCTTTAATTAAATTTTGTGTATAGTTCAGTTATGGTAGGTATTCTTTTTTAGGAAAAAATATATTTAAATAAACATTTTGTATAAAATCGATAGTTCATATCCAACGATCCCTTAATATTGAAAAAATATTTATTATAAATTTTACTTTAGAGCTAAAAACATTTTTTTAGAAACATGTGATGCAATTAAATTATTGAATTCCAAATGTTTGTTAATGCAGACTTTATATGATGATGTTTAAATTTATTGAAATCAATCTTGCAAATGTTTTGAAAAATGATTTTTAAGGAAAAAAGACTTCTAAACTTCCATATCTCTTGCATATCTTTTAGACTATTATCCTTAACAACAAATAGAGTTAAATAAATCACTCAGATAATTAATTAAGAATAACAAGGTAATCTACCACGTCGGGTGTGATAAGACAAAGTTAAAGTAAAAGTTAATAAACATTATAATAAAAATATCGAATTTATATTAAAACATATTTAAATTGAGATAAAGAAAAATTAAATTGAAGGATAAAAATTTTTGAATTGAAATCTTAAATCTTGAATTGAAATATAATCTTTTTTTGAATT